CCCCGACCCCCACGACCCGACCGCCCGACCGCCCCGACCCGACCCCCCACGACCCGACCCCCGGACCCCCCCGAACGCCCACCCCCACCCCAGGGACCCGACCCCACGCCCGACCCCCAGACCCGCCCACCCCCGCCCCCGCCCCCCCCGACGCACCCCCCCCACGACCCCCACGACCCGACCCGCCACGGACCCGCACACCCGCCCCGCCACGCCCCGCCCCCCAGAGGGGGGGCCCGCCACGCCCCCCCCCGCCACGACCCGACCCGCCCCCGACCCACCCCCACGACCCGACCCGCCGACCCGGACCCGCAGGCCCGCCCCCCCCAGCCCCGACCGCCGCGCCCCCCCGCCAGAGCGACCCGCCCCGCCACGCCCCCGGCCCCGCCACGCCCCGGACCCGACCGCACGACCCGACCCACCCGACCGCCAGCCCGACCGCCACGACCCGACCCCCCCGCGAACCCGCCCCCCGCCCACCGCCCGCCCCGCCAACCCGACCCGCCACGCAGCCCCCGCCGCCACGACCCGACGCCACGCCCCCGCCCGCAAGGGCCCGCCGACCCGCCACCACGGACCCGACAAGCCCCTACCCGACCGACCGACCCCCCCTACACCCGACCCCCAGAACCCACCCCGCCCCCAACCCGACCCGCCAGACCCGCCCCGCCACGACCCCACCCCCAGACACCCAAACCGCCAACGCCCCGGAACCCCCCACGACCACACCCGACGCACACGACCCACGACCCGCCACGACCCCGCCACGACCGTACCCACAGACAACACCAAACCGCCAAGACCACCCGCCCGACAGACCGACCCGCCACGACCCAAACCCGCCCGACCCGCAGACAGACACGCGCCGACCCGCAACGACCCGACCCCCACGCCCTACCCCACCCCCCAACCCCCACGACCCTCCCGCCCCACCCACCCTCCACTCCGACCCGCCCCCCCAAAGACCGACCCCCACTACCCACCCACCCCCACACCCACCCCCAACACCCCCCACCCCAACCCCTCCCCCACGACCCGACCCTACCGACCGCACGACCGACCCCCACGACCCGACCACCGCCAGACCCGACACCACGACCCGACCCGCCACGACCCGACCCACCCGACCGACCCTCCACGACCACGCCCGACCCGCCACGACCCGACCCCCCCACGACCACGACCCGCACGACCAAACCCGACCGCCACGACCACGACCCCACACACCAGACCCGCCACGACCCGCCACCCGACCCCACGACACAGACCCTACCACAGACCGACCATCGACCCGACCACGACCGACACCGACCCACTGACCGACCGCCCCACGACCCTACACCAGACCCGACCCGCCCACCCCGACCACACCACGAACGCCGACCCGCACACCCACCACGCCACGACCTACCCGCCACCTACCAGCCACGACACCCGCCCGACCCGCCACACCCTACCCACGAACCCTACCCTCCAGCTACAACCTACCCCACAAACCCTAACATCCACTACCCTGACCCACCTCCACTACCCACCCGCCACTACCCTACAGCCCGCCCTACCCTACCCCACTACCCTACCACACCTAACTACCCCCACTACCTACCACTACACTCCACTACCCTCCACTCCAGACCCAATACCCTACCCGCCACTACCGACCCTCCACACTACTACCCATACCCTACCCGTACCCACCACTACCCTACCCCTCTACCCCCCCTAACCCTACCACTACCCTACTCCTACCCTAACTACCCTACCCTCCACTACCCTACCCTCCACTACCCTACCCTACCCTCCTCTACCCTACCCTCCACTTACTCGACCCTCCACTACCCTACCCTCCACTACCCTACCCTACCCTCCACTACCCTCCCCTCCACTACCACCTGTATTGGTCCTCTCCCCTCCACTTACCCTGCTACTTAAACCTACTTCCCTACCCTCCACTACCCTCCACCATCCTCCACTACCCTACCCTACCCTCCACTACCCTACCCTACCCTATCCTACCCTACCCTCCACTACCCTACACGAGATGCTTCCTCAATGAAAAGAGTTCAAAGCAACTAGTCAATCTAAAAAGTATGAGTGCATTACCATAAGCAACAACATATTTTTCATTTCTAACCAGTACTGCACCCTAAGATCAAATAATTAACATAAACAACAACAACTAAAATAAACATAGTACTTGTAAATGTTTCTGAGTCCTTTGGGTCCAAGACATAACTAGTCACCTAAAAACAAGAGCATTACCCCCATCTATGGGCAAGGAGTGGAACTGCAGCTTAATAAAAACAAGAGCATTACCCCCATCTATGGGCAAGGAGTGGAACTGCAGCTCAATAAAAACAAGAACTTTACCCCCATCTATGGGCAAGGAGTGGAACTGCAGCTAAATAAAAACAAGAGCATTACCTCCATCAATGGCCCAGTAGTAGAACTGTTGCTAAATAATCTTACATTTTACATTTGGGTCATTTAGCAGACGAGCTTATCCAGAGCGACTTACAGTTAGTGAGTGCATACATTTTTTTATACTGGCCCCCCGTGGGAATCGAACCCACAATCCTGGCGTTGCAAGTGCCATGCTCTACCAACTGAGCTACAGGAGGCTTGTCTCTCCCATTGGGTTGAACCAGTTCAAGGTCATGCCTTTCAGACAAAAAATGCACCTGTGACACATGATGACCAATGCAACCATTTCCTTATCTCAGAGTAATCAAAACAGCCTTCAAAACAGTGTTTTAATGAGTTGACATTATTTGTGTTAGTGATAGGTAGTGTATTGTAAAGGCAGGTGTCGCCCCCTAGTGGACCTGTCTGTAGGCGCAGATGATAATCTCTCAGGTGGCAGTCTATAGGGGTGTATGGTGGTACATGGTCTAGTATGGCTGGCTGTCTATGGGGTGTATGGTGGTACATGGTCCTACCTGTCTATAGGAGTGTAAAGGGGGGTGATCCTACCTGTCTATAGGTGTGTAAAGGGGGGTGATCCTACCTGTCTATAGGGGTGTAAAGGGGGGTGGTCCTACCTGTCTATAGGTGTGTAAAGGGGGGTGGTCCTACCTGTCTATAGGTGTGTAAAGGGGGGTGGTCCTACCTGTCTATAGGAGTGTAAAGGGGGGTGGTCCTACCTGTCTATAGGTGTGTAAAGGGGGGTGGTCCTACCTGTCTATAGGTACAGATGATTATCTCTCTGAGGTGGTAATGCATGGGGGTCATGGTCTCGCTGACAGAGTCCAAAGCCATGTCTACCTCCCTCTTCATCCGGTGACCGTCCGGCAGCAGTCTAACTAGCTGCATCACCACCTGGGGACAGACAGACAGGACAGAACACACACACTCACTGTCAGACAGGACAGAACACACAAACTCACTGTCAGACAGGACAGAACACACACACACTCACTGTCAGACAGGACAGAATACACACACACTCACTGTCAGACAGGACAGAATACACACACTCACTGTCAGACAGAACAGAACACACACACTCACTGTCAGACAGGACAGAACACACACACTCACTGTCAGACAGGACAGAACACACACACTCACTGTCAGACAGGACAGAATACACACACACACTCACTGTCAGACAGGACAGAATACACACACTCACTGTTAGACAGGACAGAACACACACACACTCACTGTCAGACAGGACAGAACACACACACTCACTGTCAGACAGGACAGAACACACACACTCACTGTCAGCCAGGACAGAATACACACACTCACTGTTAGACAGGACAGAACACACACACACTCACTGTCAGACAGGCCAGAATACACACACACACTCACTGTCAAATCCGATACATGTTTTACAATCTCTTATATTCTGGATTAACCATCATATTACACAGGAGTAAAGATTTATTGATGCTCTATTCTAATAATTTAAAAACAAATTTCGCTTAAAAACTGGAAACAGGCTAAACAGGCTTTTCATCATGACCGAGTGAAGAGCGATGGTGATGTGTTACCATGGACCCCAGGTAGTGAAGAGAGATGGTGGTGATGTGTTACCATGGACCCCAGGTAGTGAAGAGAGATGGTGGTGATGTGTTACCATGGACCCCAGGTAGTGAAGAGAGATGGTGGTGATGTGTTACCATGGACCCCAGGTAGTGAAGAGAGATGGTGGTGACGTGTTACCATGGACCCCAGGTAGTGAAGAGAGATGGTGGTGACGTGTTACCATGGACCCCAGGTAGTGAAGAGAGATGGTGATGATGTGTTACCATGGACCCCCAGGTAGTGAAGAGAGATGGTGGTGACGTGTTACCATGGACCCCAGGTAGTGAAGAGAGATGGTGATGTGTTACCATGGACCCCAGGTAGTGAAGAGAGGTGGTGATGTGTTACCATGGACCCCAGGTAGTGAAGAGAGATGGTGATGTGTTACCATGGACCCCAGGTAGTGAAGAGCGATGGTGGTGATGTGTTACCATGGACCCCAGGTAGTGAAGAGAGATGGTGGTGATGTGTTACCATGGACCCCAGGTAGTGAAGAGAGATGGTGGTGATGTGTTACCATGGACCCCAGGTAGTGAAGAGAGATGGTGGTGATGTGTTACCATGGACCCCAGGTAGTGAAGAGAGATGGTGGTGACGTGTTACCATGGACCCCAGGTAGTGAAGAGAGATGGTGGTGATGTGTTACCATGGACCCCAGGTAGTGAAGAGAGATGGTGGTGACGTGTTACCGTGGACCCCAGGTAGTGAAGAGAGATGGTGGTGATGTGTTACCATGGACCCCAGGTAGTGAAGAGAGATGGTGGTGACGTGTTACCATGGACCCCAGGTAGTGAAGAGAGATGGTGGTGATGTGTTACCATGGACCCCAGGTAGTGAAGAGAGATGGTGATGTGTTACCATGGACCCCAGGTAGTGAAGAGCGATGGTGGTGATGTGTTACCATGGACCCCAGGTAGTGAAGAGAGATGGTGGTGATGTGTTACCATGGACCCCAGGTAGTGAAGAGAGATGGTGGTGACGTGTTACCATGGACCCCAGGTAGTGAAGAGAGATGGTGGTGATGTGTTTACCATGGACCCCAGGTAGTGAAGAGAGATGGTGGTGACGTGTTACCATGGACCCCAGGTAGTGAAGAGAGATGGTGGTGATGTGTTACCATGGACCCCAGGTAGTGAAGAGAGATGGTGGTGACATGTTACCATGGACCCCAGGTAGTGAAGAGAGATGGTGGTGATGTGTTACCATGGACCCCAGGTAGTGAAGAGAGATGGTGGTGATGTGTTACCATGGACCCCAGGTAGTGAAGAGAGATGGTGATGTGTTACCATGGACCCCAGGTAGTGAAGAGAGATGGTGGTGATGTGTTACCATGGACCCCAGGTAGTGAAGAGAGATGGTGGTGATGTGTTACCATGGACCCCAGGTAGTGAAGAGAGATGGTGGTGACGTGTTACCATGGACCCCAGGTAGTGAAGAGAGATGGTGGTGATGTGTTACCATGGACCCCAGGTAGTGAAGAGAGATGGTGGTGATGTGTTGCCATGGACCCCAGGTAGTGAAGAGAGATGGTGGTGACGTGTTACCATGGACCCCAGGTAGTGAAGAGAGATGGTGGTGATGTGTTACCATGGACCCCAGGTAGTGAAGAGAGATGGTGATGTGTTACCATGGACCCCAGGTAGTGAAGAGAGATGGTGGTGACGTGTTACCACGGACCCCATGTAGTGAAGAGAGATGGTGGTGATGTGTTACCATGGACCCCAGGTAGTGAAGAGAGATGGTGGTGACGTGTTACCATGGACCCCAGGTAGTGAAGAGAGATGGTGACGTGTTACCATGGACCCCAGGTAGTGAAGAGCGATGGTGGTGATGTGTTACCATGGACCCCAGGTAGTGAAGAGAGATGGTGGTGACGTGTTACCATGGACCCCAGGTAGTGAAGAGAGATGGTGGTGATGTGTTACCATGGACCCCAGGTAGTGAAGCGCGATGGTGGTGATGTGTTACCATGGACCCCAGGTAGTGAAGAGAGATGGTGGTGATGTGTTACCATGGACCCCAGGTAGTGAAGAGAGATGGTGGTGATGTGTTACCATGGACCCCAGGTAGTGAAGAGAGATGGTGGTGATGTGTTACCATGGACCCCAGGTAGTGAAGAGAGATGGTGGTGATGTGTTACCATGGACCCCAGGTAGTGAAGAGAGATGGTGGTGATGTGTTACCATGGACCCCAGGTAGTGAAGAGAGATGGTGGTGATGTGTTACCATGGACCCCAGGTAGTGAAGAGCGATGGTGGTGATGTGTTACCATGGACCCCAGGTAGTGAAGAGCGATGGTGGTGATGTGTTACCATGGACCCCAGGTAGTGAAGAGAGATGGTGGTGACGTGTTACCATGGACCCCAGGTAGTGAAGAGAGATGGTGGTGATGTGTTACCATGGACCCCAGGTAGTGAAGAGAGATGGTGGTGACGTGTTACCATGGACCCCAGGTAGTGAAGAGAGATGGTGATGTGTTACCATGGACCCCAGGTAGTAATAAGTAAATAGTCTTGGCCTTGGCTTGTGCGAGCCAGAACGTCTCAGAACGCTGTTTCTGTAGCGTGAGGCAGCTTGATGTACCAGGACACCCCCTGGACAGGACACTAGTCTATCTCCTGTTTCTGTAGCGTGAGGCAGCTTGATGTACCAGTCCACCCCCTGGACAGGACACTAGTCTATCTCTTGTTTCTGTAGCGTGAGGCAGCTTGATGTACCAGGACACCCCCTGGACAGGACACTAGTCTATCGCAGGTCATTACCCCCCAATCTATCTCCTTAATGTGGAGCGCCAAGCAGAGATGCATCAGGCCCCATTTTTACAGGTCACTGAGTTATAATGGACCCCAGGTTTCATTTACATAATATGGTGTTGACATTTACATAAAATTGTGTTGACCCAGAGTTGGCCCATATCCACAGACAGAGAATGGACCAGAGCCTGTGTTGCAGCCAGACTGCCAGCGGACAGGACAGGCCTGCAGGTCCTATGTGTCAGTCAGCCAGCCAGAGTTTCCCTAGTAACCAGCCTGGGTCAGTACTGTCCTCTGTAACCCAGACACTCCACTGTTGACTAACTGTGTGTGAATTAGCAGGTGCTTTTATCCAAAGCGACTCAGTCAGTCATGTTTACATGTTATGTATGGTTTGGCCCGGGAATCACTGACATGTACAGTACATGTGGCCCAATTATGACATTTTTATCAAATTGCACTTATTCAGCCTACTTTGCTTGTAAATATAATTCGCTATCAGTTGTTGTTGCTTTTAAATCTGTGATTTAATCTGGACGTATTGTGTTTGCTGCAATATGAACTGGCTCATTGAGGACATGAACGTTTTCTGAACCCGAACTGACCACTGGCTCATTGAGGACATGAACGTTTTCTGAACCCGAACTGACCACTGGCTCATTGAGGACATGAACGTTTTCTGAACCTGAACTGACCACTGGCTCATTGAGGACATGAACGTTTTCTGAACCTGAACTGACCACTGGCTCATTGAGGACATGAACGTTTTCTGAACCCGAACTGACCACTGGCTCATTGAGGACATGAACGTTTTCTGAACCTGAACTGACCACTGGCTCATTGAGGACATGAACGTTTTCTGAACCTGAACTGACCACTGGCTCATTGAGGACATGAACGTTTTCTGAACCCGAACTGACCACTGGCTCATTATCAGACCACAGCTAATGAGAGGAAAGGTGAGTCCCAAATGGCCTCACATACCCTGTACAGTGCACTACTTTTGAGCAGAGCCCTAAGGGGGGCCCAGATCAAAAGTAGTCCACTAAATAGGGATTGTGGAGCCATTGGGGAGGCAGAGGGAGAGCCTCTCTCTACAGGCCCCATTCAGCCAGACTATTCCAGACCAGAGGAGAATCATGTCTGTTAGGTGGTTGCTAGGACACTAGAGCTCCAACACTATAGTCTCTGGTAATGTGGTGAATCTAAAACGGTCATGTTCCACTCAAACCTTCTTTTGGTAAAAGTCTCTATGTTGTTACTCACCTTGAATTCTCCCTTTGTGTACTTGGCATCAGGAACACTGACAAGCTCATCATCACCGAACTCAGGAAACCCCTGAGGCAGAAACAAACCAACAACGGATGAACATTGCTGGTTTAATACTGGTCTTACAGATCTGGTAACCTCTCCAATGTGTTTATTAGAAGGCAAATTAACTTGAAAAGTGACTATTCCTGGATTATACGTTGGTATTCCAGAATAGACTCTTACATTGAAGTGCCAGAGAGTGAGGGGAGTGGTCTTACATTGAAGTGCCAGAGAGTGAGGGCAGCTATGACCATGGCTGTGGTAGTTCTTCCCTTGCCGTTGGAGCAGTTAAACACGAAGGCTGAGTGAGAGTCCTCTGCCAAGGTACTCTTCATGGCCTCCATGAGCTGGTCAAAGTCCTGGAGGTAAAACACATGCACACACACAGACACACACACACACACACACACACACACACACACACACACACACACACACACACACACACACACACACACACACACACACACACACACACACACACACACACACACACACACACACACACACACACACACACACACACACACACACACACACACACACACACACACACACACACACACACACACACACACACACACACACACACACGAGATGGCTATATTCAGTTATTTTATTGATACAACATGTGTAATAACATTCAACACCACTAGAGGGAGTACAAAGCTTTCCATTTTCACCCCTCATATCATCGCCAAATGAAAACCTGCCACTGCAGTGCCTCCACAAAACCCATTACCTTTGTGTGTGTGTGTGTGTGTGTGTGTGTGTATGTGTGCGTGTGTGTGCGTGTATGTGCGTGTATGTGCGTGTGTGTATGTGTGCGTGTGTGTGCGTGTATGTGTGTGTGTGTGTGTATGTGTGCGTGTGTGTGCGTGTATGTGCGTGTGTGTGTGTGTGTGTATGTGTGCGTATGTGTGCGTGTATGTGTGTGTATGTGCGTGTGTGTATGTGTGTGTGTGTGTGTGCGTGTATGTGCATGTGTGTGTGTGTATATATATATATATTTGTGTGTGTGGCTGCGTGGCGTCCGTCTGTACCTCCTCCTTGGGGGCGCAGCAGTCTGACAGAGGGATGCGTTTATACAGCAGTCCCTGATGTGTTCTCTTGTACTGATTGAAGACCTCCTGGACCGTCAGACAGGTTTTAAACATCTTCATCTGTTTCTCCTGCTCCAGAGACACCTCCAGCCACTTCTGGGCTCTCTGAACCTCCTCTCCCAGGGCGGTCTCTAGTTTCTGGGGTAGAGAGGAGGGGAGAGACAGTCAGACTACCCCTTTTTCTCCCCAATTTCGTGATACCCAATTTGGTAGTTACAGTCTTGTCCCATCGCTGCAACTCCCGTACGGACTCGGGAGAGGCGAAGGTCGAGAGCCATGCGTCCTCTGAAACACGACCCTGCCAAGCCGCACTGCTTCTTGACACACTGCTCACTTAACCCGGAAGCCAGCCGCACCAATGTGTCGGAGGAAACACCGTACAACTGGCGACCGAAGCCAGCGTGCATGCGCCCGGACCGCCACAAGAGGTCGCTAGAGTGCGATGGGACAAGGACATCCCGGCCCGGCCAAACCCTCCCCTAACCCGGACGACGCTGGGCCAAATTGTGCGTCGCCTCATGGGTCTCCCGGTCGCGGCCAGCTGCGACACAGCCCAGGATCGAACCCGGATCTGTAGTGACGCCTCTAAGCACTGCAGTGCCTTAGACCGCTGGGCCACTCGGGAGACCCTCACTTTCCTTTACTGACTTTATGGTCTGTGTAAAGAACATTTATTTGCAGCATCATACAAACAGTATTATGTTCCCTACAGGGAACATTTGATTTGATTTTGACGGGGACAGTCAAGCCAGTGAGTCACAGCGAGGCTGATCGCTAGTAGGGAGAGATAACCTGGAACTTCTGTATCACACCAAATCAGCAGGGTAACATGAAACACTGGACCTCTATGTGCTGGGGGTTAAGGTTCAGTTAATACCTCTATGTGCTGGGGGTTAAGGTTCAGTTAATACCTCTATGTGCTGGGGGTTAAGGTTCAGTTAATACCTCTATGTGCTGGGGGTTAAGATTCAGTTAATACCTCTATGTGATGGGGGTTAAGGTTCAGTTAATACCTCTATGTGCTGGGGGTTAAGGTTCAGTTAATACCTCTATGTGCTGGGGGTTAAGGTTCAGTTAATACCTCTATGTGATGGGGGTTAAGGTTCAGTTAATACCTCTATGTGCTGGGGGTTAAGGTTCAGTTAATACCTCTATGTGATGGGGGTTAAGGTTCAGTTAATACCTCTATGTGCTGGGGGTTAAGGTTCAGTTAATACCTCTATGTCCTGGGGGTTAAGGTTCAGTTAATACCTCTATGTGCTGGGGGTTAAGGTTCAGTTAATACCTCTATGTGCTGGGGGTTAAGGTTCAGTTAATACCTCTATGTGCTGGGGGTTAAGGTTCAGTTAATACCTCTATGTGCTGGGGGTTAAGGTTCAGTTAATACCTCTATGTGATGGGGGTTAAGGTTCAGTTAATACCTCTATGTGCTGGGGGTTAAGGTTCAGTTAATACCTCTATGTGCTGGGGGTTAAGGTTCAGTTAATATCTCTATGTGCTGGGGGTTAAGGTTCAGTTAATACCTCTATGTGCTGGGGGTTAGGGTTCAGTTAATACCTCTATGTGCTGGGGGTTAAGGTTCAGTTAATACCTCTATGTGCTGGGGGTTAAGGTTCAGTTAATACCTCTATGTGCTGGGGGTTAAGGTTCAGTTAATACCTCTATGTCCTGGGGGTTAAGGTTCAGTTAATACCTCTATGTGCTGGGGGTTAAGGTTCAGTTAATACCTCTATGTGCTGGGGGTTAAGGTTCAGTTAATACCTCTATGTGCTGGGGGTTAAGGTTCAGTTAATACCTCTATGTGCTGGGGGTTAAGGTTCAGTTAATACCTCTATGTGCTGGGGGTTAAGGTTCAGTTAATACCTCTATGTGCTGGGGGTTAAGGTTCAGTTAATACCTCTATGTGCTGGGGGTTAAGGTTCAGTTAATACCTCTATGTGATGGGGGTTAAGGTTCAGTTAATACCTCTATGTGCTGGGGGTTAAGGTTCAGTTAATACCTCTATGTGCTGGGGGTTAAGGTCAGTTAATACCTCTATGTGCTGGGGGTTAAGGTTCAGTTAATACCTCTATGTGCTGGGGGTTAAGGTTCAGTTAATACCTCTATGTGCTGGGGGTTAAGGTTCAGTTAATACCTCTATGTGCTGGGGGTTAAGGGTCAGTTAATACCTCTATGTGCTGGGGGTTAAGGTCAGTTAATACCTCTATGTGCTGGGGGTTAAGCTTAGGTTCAGTTAATACCTCTATGTGCTGGGGGTTAAGCTTAGGTTCAGTTAATACCTCTATGTACTGGGGGTTAAGGTTAGGTTCAGTTAATACCTCTATGTGCTGGGGGTTAAGGTTTGGTTTAAGGTTAGGGTCAGTTAATACCTATATGTGCTAGTGGTTAAGGTTAGGGTTAAGGTTAGGGTCAGTTAATACCTCTATGTGCTGGGGGTTAAGGTTAGGGTTAAGGTTAGGGTCAGTTAATACCTCTATGTGCTAGTGGTTAAGGTTAGGGTTAGGGTCAGTTAGTACCTTTATGTGCTGGGGGTTAGGGTCAGTTAGTACCTCTATGTGCTGGGGGTTACGGTTAGGGTCAGTTAATACCTCTATGTGCTGGAGGTTAGGGCCAGTTAGTACCTCTATGTGCTGGAGGTTAAGGTTAGGGTCAGTTAGTACGTCTATGTGCTGGAGGTTAAGTTTAGGGTCAGTTGGCCTACCACTTCGCGGCTGAGCCGTTGTTGCTCCTAGACGTTTCCACTTCACAATAACAGCACTTAGAGTTGACCGGGGCAGCTCTAGCAGGGCAGAAATTTGACGAACTGAATTGTTGGAAAGGTGGCATCCTATGACGGTGCCACGTTGAAAGGCACTGAGCTCTTCAGTAAGGCCATTTTACAGCCAATTTATGTCTATGGAGATTGCATGGCGGTGTGCTTGATTTTATACACCTGTCAGCAACGGGTGTGGCTAAAATAGCCGAATCCACTAATTTGAAGGGGTGTCCACATACTTTTGTATATATGGTGTATCTAGTACCTCTATGTGTGTGGGGTCTGTGGCGGGGACAGGGATGTGTTGCTCCAGACAGGAAGGCTCTCTGGGAGTGAAGACCTGTCCGTTCCCCTCCAGAACCAGCTCCTCCTGCAGGTTGACCCACAGCACGTGGCTGTACTTCCTCTTCTCATCTGTCAGGTGGGTCAGCACCGCACCCGTCGCCTACAAACACACAACCCCCGCAGATACGCTTCAGTTCAGCTTGACAGACAACGTACTGTAAGAACTGGGATGTCTTAAAACGTTTTTTTATGTCTGCTAAAGATAGAAAGTTCTGGGAAACTAGCATTTTGGACATTGACCAAATGTGACAGGGTACGGGGGGTTGGTGTAGATCTTACCTCTGATGTAGGCTGTGACATGCCGTAGACGGGCATCTTGGGGACTCTTCTGAAGTTAGCCACCTTCATCTCCTTCACTGTGCTGAGTATGTCTGGAGACAGGTACTCATGAGCAACCTGCGCGCACACACACACACGCACACGCACACACGCACACACACACACACACACACACACACACACACACACACACACACACACACACACACACACACACACACAGTAAGTACATAAGATAATGAGTTAGATTTCCAGTGAATGTATTCATTACACAAGGCAAACAAACTTGAAACAGAGAAACTCTATTTCTCTGCTCCTGACTGAGTTCGATGTTCTGCAGTGGGTCTGAGTGAGTGTGTCGTGATGTCATTTGGTGGGAGGTTCTCACCAAAACGCGGGCTCCCTTGGTGACGAGATCGGGCGGAGCGGAGAGTTCTGATAGGTCCATACAGGCCAGCAGGCGGTACACCCAGGCGTGAGCACACAGCCACTGGCTGAAGTTGGACGCAAAGCCAAGAGAATACTGCAACACCACAAAACAGACAAGGATTGAGATGTCTTTGTCTGCCATGGTAAAATCAGACGTAAAGATTGAGATGTCTTTGTCTGCCATGGTAAAATCAGGACACAAAAGATTGAGATGTCTTTGTTTGCCATGGTAAAATCAGACGTAAAGATTGAGATGTCTTTGTCTGCCATGGTAAAAACAGATGTAAAGATTGAGATGTCTTTGTTTGCCATGGTAAAAACAGGACACAAAAGATTGAGATGTCTTTGTCTGCCATGGTAAAAACAGGACACAAAAGATTGAGATGTCTTTGCTGCCATGGTAAAATCAGACGTAAAGATTTAGGTCTTTGTCTGCCATGGTAAAATCAGACGTAAAGATTGAGATGTCTTTGTCTGCTAAAAACAGGACATTTGTCATCTCAATGCAAAGCACAAACAATGGCAGCCAGAAAAGACAAACAGCAGAGTCAATAGAAAATAACATTGGCTTGTATGTATGAGTGAAAGATAGAATTTCGCTATGGGTGCCATTTGGAACAAAGCCATACCTGTTCATGAAGGTATGCGTTGAACACAATCAGGTAGAAATACCGTTCCAGGCTCTGTATGGCTCTGTGGAGAAAGTAGTCTTTGGTTGTGCTTCCCTCCCTAAAGATTTTGGTACAGGGACAGACACAATGAAGTAGTCTTTGGTAGCTCCCTAGAAGAAGACATCAATTCAAAGTAGTCTTGGTACGCTCCTAGAAAGCAGACATCAAGGAGTCAGACGTCTTTGGTACTGCTCCCGAAAACAGACATCAAGGAGTCGACATAGTCTTTTTGTCTTCCTAAAACAGACACAAGGATCAGACTAGTCTTTGGTATGTCCTGAAAACAGACTCAAGATGACATAGTCTTGGGTACTGCCCCAGAAAACAGACTAAGATAGACGTATCTTGGGTCTGCCTGGTAAAAACAGACATCAAGAGTAGAATGTCTTGGGTCTGCCCTAGAAAACAGACACAAGGAGAAATGTATTTGGTCTGCCCATGAAAACAGACTCAAAGAATTAGTCTTTGTCTGCCCTGGAACAAATCAGAGTAGACAGAGTCTTTGTGCTCCCTAAAAACAGACCAAGATCGACTTCTTGGTCTGCTCCCTAGAAAGCACAGGACACAAATTGGTACTGCCCCTAGAAAACAGACATCAAGATCAGACATAGTTTGTACTGCTCCTAGAAGAAGAATAAGGAGTCGCGTATCTGGTACTGTCCCTGGAACAATAGCACAGTATCTTTGGTACTGCTCTAGAAAGACAACATCAGGTCAGAAAGTACTTGTACGCCCCTGAAGAGACGCTGGAGTCAGACAGTAGTCTTGGTATGCTCCCTAGAAGAGACAGACATCAAGGAGTCAGACAGTAGTCTTTGGTTGCTCCCTAGAAGAGACAGACATCAAGGATCAGACAGTAGTCTTTGGTATGCTCCCTAGAAGAGACAGACATCAAGGAGTCAGACAGTAGTCTTTGGTACTGCTCCTAGAAGAGACGACATCAAGGAGTCAGACAGTAGTCTTTGGTTGTGCTTCCCTAAAGAGACAGACATCAAGGAGTCAGACAGTAGTCTTTGGTACTGCTCCCTAGAAGAGACAGACATCAAGGAGTCAGACAGTAGTCTTGGGTACTGCTCCCTAGAAGAGAGACATCAAGGAGTCAGACAGTAGTCTTGGTTGTTTCCTAGAAGAGACAGACATCAGGAGTCAGACAGTAGTCTTGGTACTGCTCCCTAGAAGAGACAGACATCAAGGAGTCAGACAGTAGTCTTTGGTACTGCTCCCTAGAAGAGACAGACATCAAGGAGTCAGACAGTAGTCTTTGGTACTGCTCCCTAGAAGAGACAGACATCAAGGAGTCAGACAGTAGTCTTTGGTACTGCTCCCTAGAAGAGACAGACATCAAGGAGTCAGACAGTAGTCTTGGTACTGCTCCCTAGAAGAGACAGACATCAAGGAGTCAGACAGTAGTCTTTGGGTACTGCTCCCTAGAAGAGACAGACATCAAGGAGTCAGACAGTAGTCTTTGGTACTGCTCCCTAGAAGAGACAGACATCAAGGAGTCAGACAGTAGTCTTTGGTACTGCTCCCTAGAAGAGACAGACATCAAGGAGTCAGACAGTAGTCTTTGGTACTGCTCCCTAGAAGAGACAGACATCAAGGAGTCAGACAGTAGTCTTTGGGTACTGCTCCCTAGAAGAGACAGACATCAAGGAGTCAGACAGTAGTCTTTGGTACTGCTCCCTAGAAGAGACAGACATCAAGGAGTCAGACAGTAGTCTTTGGTACTGCTCCCTAGAAGAGACAGACATCAAGGAGTCAGACAGTAGTATTTGGTACTGCTCCCTAGAAGAGACAGACATCAAGGAGTCAGACAGTAGTCTTTGGTACTGCTCCCTAGAAGAGACAGACATCAAGGAGTCAGACAGTAGTCTTTGGTACTGCTCCCTAGAAGAGACAGACATCAAGGAGTCAGACAGTAGTCTTTGGTACTGCTCCCTAGAAGAGACAGACATCAAGGAGTCAGACAGTAGTCTTTGGTACTGCTCCCTAGAAGAGACAGACATCAAGGAGTCAGACAGTAGTCTTTGGTACTGCTCCCTAGAAGAGACAGACATCAAGGAGTCAGACAGTAGTCTTTGGTACTGCTCCCTAGAAGAGACAGACATCAAGGAGTCAGACAGTAGTCTTTGGTACTGCTCCCTAGAAGAGACAGACATCAAGGAGTCAGACAGTAGTCTTTGGTACTGCTCCCTAGAAGAGACAGACATCAAGGAGTCAGACAGTAGTCTTTGGTACTGCTCCCTAGAAGAAGTTGGGGGGGGGGTCCAGACATCAAGGAGTCAGACAGTAGTATTTGGTACTGCTCCCTAGAAGAGACAGACATCAAGGAGTCAGACAGTAGTATTTGGTACTGCTCCCTAGAAGAGACAGACATCAAGGAGTCAGACAGTAGTCTTTGGTACTGCTCCCTAGAAGAGACAGACATCAAGGAGTCCGACAGTAGTCTTTGGTACTGCTCCCTAGAAGAGACAGACATCAAGGAGTCCGACAGTAGTCTTTGGTACTGCTCCCTAGAAGAGACAGACATCAAGGAGTCAGACAGTAGTCTTGGGTACTGCTCCCTAGAAGAGACAGACATCAAGGAGTCAGACAGTAGAATTTGGTACTGCTCCCTAGAAGAGACAGACATCAAGGAGTCAGACAGTAGTCTTTGGTACTGCTCCCTAGAAGAGACAGACATCAAGGAGTCAGACAGTAGTCTTTGGTACTGCTCCCTAGAAGAGACAGACATCAAGGAGTCAGACAGTAGTCTTTGGTACTGCTCCCTAGAAGAGACAGACATCAAGGAGTCAGACAGTAGTATTTGGTACTGCTCCCTAGAAGAGACAGACATCAAGGTGTCAGACAGTAGTCTTGGGTACTGCTCCCTAGAAGAGACAGACATCAAGGAGTCAGACAGTAGTCTTTGGTACTGCTCCCTAGAAGAGACAGACATCAAGGAGTCAGACAGTAGTCTTTGGTACTGCTCCCTAGAAGAGACAGACATCAAGGAGTCAGACAGTAGTCTTTGGTACTGCTCCCTAGAAGAGACAGACATCAAGGAGTCAGACAGTAGTCTTTGGTACTGCTCCCTAGAAGAGACAGACATCAAGGAGTCAGACAGTAGTATTTGGTACTGCTCCCTAGAAGAGACAGACATCAAGGAGTCAGACAGTAGTCTTGGGTACTGCTCCCTAGAAGAGACAGACATCAAGGAGTCAGACAGTAGTCTTTGGTACTGCTCCCTAGAAGAGACAGACATCAAGGAGTCCGACAGTAGTCTTTGGTACTGCTCCCTAGAAGAGACAGACATCAAGGAGTCCGACAGTAGTCTTTGGTACTGCTCCCTAGAAGAGACAGACATCAAGGAGTCAGACAGTAGTATTTGGTACTGCTCCCTAGAAGAGACAGACATCAAGGAGTCAGACAGTAGTCTTTGGTACTGCTCCCTAGAAGAGACAGACATCAAGGAGTCAGACAGTAGTATTTGGTACTGCTCCCTAGAAGAGACAGACATCAAGGAGTCAGACAGTAGTCTTGGGTACTGCTCCCTAGAAGAGACAGACATCAAGGAGTCAGACAGTAGTCTTTGGTACTGCTCCCTAGAAGAGACAGACATCAAGGAGTCAGACAGTAGTCTTTGGTACTGCTCCCTAGAAGAGACAGACATCAAGGAGTCAGACAGTAGTCTTGGGTACTGCTCCCTAGAAGAGACAGACATCAAGGAGTCAGACAGTAGTCTTTGGTACTGCTCCCTAGAAGAGACAGACATCAAGGAGTCACAGACATCAAGGAGTCACACAGTAGTCTTTGGTACTGCTCCCTAGAAGAGACAGACATCAAGGAGTCAGACAGTAGTCTTTGGTACTGCTCCCTAGAAGAGACAGACATCAAGGAGTCAGACAGTAGTATTTGGTACTGCTCCCTAGAAGAGACAGACATCAAGGAGTCAGACAGTAGTCTTTGGTACTGCTCCCTAGAAGAGACAGACATCAAGGAGTCAGACAGTAGTCTTTGGTACTGCTCCCTAGAAGAGACAGACATCAAGGAGTCAGACAGTAGTCTTTGGTACTGCTCCCTAGAAGAGACAGACATCAAGGAGTCAGACAGTAGTCTTTGGTACTGCTCCCTAGAAGAGACAGACATCAAGGAGTCAGACAGTAGTCTTTGGTACTGCTCCCTAGAAGAGACAGACATCAAGGAGTCAGACAGTAGTCTTTGGTACTGCTCCCTAGAAGAGACAGACATCAAGGAGTCAGACAGTAGTCTTTGGTACTGCTCCCTAGAAGAGACAGACATCAAGGAGTCAGACAGTAGTCTTTGGTACTGCTCCCTAGAAGAGACAGACATCAAGGAGTCAGACAGTAGTCTTTGGTACTGCTCCCTAGAAGAGACAGACATCAAGGAGTCAGACAGTAGTCTTGGGTACTGCTCCCTAGTATCATAACATACCAGCTAAGCACTGGAGCATCATATTACTGTATCAAAATGATCATAGTGTACTGATAAAGTTTTGATCAATCTGAAACATAACCTACCTGAATTTGATAATCATCTCCGATCGCTTCAAGTTTCTTCTTATTTTCGTATATTGCTTCTTTTATGTTGTGCATTTCTGAACACAGGGCGATCGCTTGGTCAACCTGAAGAACAAAAGGGACAGAACATGATTTCAATACTGGGAACTAGCACAATGTACCTAACTAGTGGAGTCATTTCTAGATCACTCACCTCTTCCATGACCTGTTGTCCTTCAGGTAGTTTGTCGATGAGGGTCTGAATGACTTGGAACACTGGGCTTGGCTTCTGCCTCCTCCACTCTGCAAATAACAAACCGGACAGGCAGCCATCTTTAAAACACTTCCTTACAGTTTAACTACATCACCACTGCATTATTATGACACTGACCAATCCAATGTTTTGATAGAAATGTAGGCCTGCCCAGCAAATCTGGTTATAATGATGTTTACTCAAGCAGAAAAACAGTTTGCAAACAGAAAACATCATTAACACATCACGTGCCAAATGTTACCCTCTGGGTATAATCTGGATCAGTTTCATAGTGATTTTTTATATTTTACCTTTATTTTACCAGACAGGTCAATTAAGAACAAATTATTATATGCAATGATAGCCTGGCAATACACTACATATACAAAAGTATGTGGACACCCCTTCAAATTAGTGGATTCGGATATTTCAGCCACACCTGTTGCTGACAGGTGTATAAAATCGAGCACACAGCCATGAAATCTCGTTAGACAAACATTGGCAGTAGAATGGCCCGTACTGAAGAGCTCAGTGACCTTTAATGTTGCACCGTCATAGAATGCCACCTTTCCAACAAGTCAGTTCATCAAATGTCTGCCCTGTAAGTGCTGTTATTGTGAAGTGGAAACATCTAGGAGCAACAACAGCTCAGCCGCAAAGTGGTAGACCACACAAGCTCACAGAACGGGACCGCTGGAGTGGAATAAAGCTCCCCGCCATTGCACTCTTGAGGAGGGGAAACGCGTTCTCTAATCTGGGTTTGGCGGATGCAAGGAGAACGCTACCTGCCCGAATGCATAGTGCCAACTGTAAAGGTTGGTGGAGGAGGAATAATGGTCTGGGGCTGTTTTTCATGGTTCAGGCTAGGTCCCTTAGTTCCAGTGAAGGGAAATCTTAACACTACAGCATACAATGACATTCTAGACGATTCTGTGCTTCCAAATTTGTGGCAACAGTTTGGGGAAGGCCGTTTCCTGTTTCAGCATGACAATGCACCCGTGCACAAAGCGAGGTCCATATAGAAATGGTTTGTCGAGATCGGTGTGGGAGAACTTGACTGGCCTGCACAGAGACCTGACCTCAACACAATCGAACACCTTCAGGATGAATTGGAAGGCTGCGACTGCGAGCCTTGGCCAAATCGCCAAACATCAGTGCCCGACCTCACTAATGCTCTTGTGGCTGAATGGAAGCAAGTCCCCACAGCAATGTTTCAACATCTAGTGGAAAGCCTTCCCAGAAGAGTGGAGGCTGTGATACCAGCAAAGGGGGGGGGGGGACCAACTCCATGTTAATGCCCATGATTTTGGAATGAGATGTTTGACGAGCAGGTGTCCACATACTTTTGGCCATGTAGTGTATCTCTAGGCTAGGTTCCAGTTTGGTTGTGGAGGTTGAGTCCTGTCTTACTGTGGTGGTTCCTGGGTGGTCTTCAGGTGGTTGAGGACCAGGGTCCCCAGGATCATGGCAAGGTTGGTCCTCCCTACCCCCACCTGACAGCAGAACAACAGGGCAGGCAGAGGCCTGGAAACATCCCTTCCCAATGACAGGTTGGGGCTCTCCTGAAAACATGCAACACAAATACAGGGATTGGAAAACACCACATACAAATGAAAAAGAAAAGTTGCGCTCTAATTCTCTCCTAGCTTTATTTGACCAACACTTTGGCTAAAGGGCGTTCATCCGGAGTTTCTAGCTGTCCTGGAAACCAACACACACATATTTGAAAAGGAATTGGAATGTCTGTCTGTCTGTCTCTAGTTTACACCCTGAC